CACCAGGGCTGTGTATAATACCTGGGGCCCCTGTGAGAGATGCTCAGATGCTTTGCTGGAGTGGCTAGAGTTCCCAGAGGGGGCAAGCAGGACCTCAGATTCCTGGGTACTGTGGCACTTGGCAGCTTCTTCACTGAGTGGGCAATCCTGGGCAGGGTTGCTGGGGCTATGGGCAGGGTCTTGGGTTCCCAGGAGAGACACAGGGGCTCTTGGCCACTTCTTTGCTGTAGTGGGTAGGGTTGCCAGGCAATGGGTGGGACCTTGGTCCCCTGGGAGAGGCACTGGGGTGCTCAGCAACTCATTCTCTGGAGTTGGCAACCCTGAGTGGGGTCATGGAGTTCATGTGAGGAAACCAGGCCCCTGGAGAGCTGTCCAACTGAAGTTGGCAAGGAGTGCTAGAGATCAGCTCCCAGGCTCAGAGAGTGCATGCAACAGCTCCCTTTGTTTTGGTGGTGGTCTTGCTGTAGTGTTGGATCACCTGTTCCCTGAGATGCAGGGCATTGTGTGGTTTCAGGTACTGGGGTCATGGTTGCACCACTGGGTCCATCTGGTGGTGTGATGCTGCAGCCATCTTGGTGGGTGAATTGGGATGTAGGCAGGGCTCTAGGGATGTGGAGATGCTGGGGCTATTCCACAGCGAGCTGTACTCTGGTGTTGGCTCCAGTCCCCAAATGGCAACATGCTGTGGCAGCCAGGGTGGGGGATACTCAGTGTGAATTCCCCCTCTAGAATAATGCAGTTGTGTAGACTCCGGGCAGCTCCCTATGTTGGGCTCATGGCCTGCAAGGGCTGTGAGCCTTTCTTGTACCTAGGATTGTAGGCATCTGTGGTGGGAATGCAGACTGCTGTGGACATTTCTGTTCTCTCTCTCTCTCTCTCTTTATGTCTTTCAAAGGTATTTTCTTTGTCATTACCACAAAGGTTGCATAAAGCATCTTATAGTTATAACAGTTTACTTTAAGCTGATAACAACTTAACTTCAATCACATACAAAAACTCTACACTTTTACTGCTCTCCTCACTTTATGTTATAAATGTCACAATTTACATCTTTTTTTTTTTTTTTTTTAAGATGACTGGTAAGGGGATCTTAACCCTTGACTTGGTGTTGTCAGCACCGCGCTCAGCCAGTGAGCTAACCGGCCATCCCTATATGGGATCTGAACCCGTGGCCCTGGTGGTATCAGCACCGCACTCTCCCGAGTGAGCCACAGGCCGGCCCACACAATTTACATCTTTTATATTGTGTATCCATTAGCAATTTTTTGTAATATTGTTATTTTTAATACTTTTGTCCTTAAACTTTTACACTAGAATTAAAAATGATTTACCTGCTACCATTGCAACAATATAGTATTTTGTATTTGTCTATATATTTACCTTTTCTAGTGAGTTTTGTATTTTCATATGCTTTCAGGTTGCTGTTTAGCATCCTTTTATTTCAACTTGAAGAACTGCCTTTAGCATTTCTTGTAAGGCCAGTGTAGTGGTGCCAAGCTCTCAACTTTTGTTTGTCTGGAAAAATCTTTGTCTCTTCATTTTTGAAGGACAATTTTGCTGTATATAGTATTCTTGGTTGGCAGTTTTTTTCTTTCAGCACTTTGAATAAATCACCCCTCTCTTTTCCGGCAAGAAAATTTTCTCCTGTGAAATCCACTAATAGTTTTATGGAGGCTCCCTCGTATCTGATGAATGGGTTTTCTCTGTGGCTTTCAAAATTCTTTCAAAATTGACTTTTGACAATTTGATTATAATGTGTCTTGCTGTAGACTTCTTTGAGTTTATCCTACTTGTGATTCTTTGGGCTTTATGAATTTAAGTGTTAATTTCCCTCCCCAGATTTGTGAAGTTTTCAGACCTTATTTCTTTAAATAAGCTTTCTTAAATTTCTCTCCCTTTTCCTTTTGAGATGTCCATAATATGTATTTATTTTGCTTGATAGTGTCCTATATGTCCCATAGTCTTTCTTCACTGTTTTTTTTTTTGTTTTTACCCCCTCCTCTGACTGGATAATTTCAAATTACTTGTCTTTGATTCTGCTTGATCAAGTCTCTTGTTAAACCCTTCTGAAGAAATTCTCAGTTCAATTATTGTATTTTTTCAGCCCTCAAATTTCTATTTGGTTCTTTTTTTATAATTTTTGTATCTTTGTTGATATTTTCATATTATTCCATGTATCATTTTTCTGATTTTATACAGTTGTCTATTTGTTCTCTCATGACTCACTGAGCATCTTTTAGATAATTGTCTTGCTTTCTTTTTTTTAGGCAAGTCAGAGATTTTAGGTTGGTTACTGGAGGATTATTTTGTTTCTTTGGCTGTGCCATGTTTTCCTGATTCTTTGTGTTCCCTGTAGATTTGTGTTGGTGTCTGCACAATTTAAGAAATAGCCACCTCTCTCAGTCTTTATGGAATTGTTTCAAAAGGGAAAGACCTTTACAAGTCAGACCACTGAAAGAGATTGGGAGTCTCTCAGAATTTTTCTATGGATGTATGTTCTCTGGACTTGTACATGGGGATTCCTAATTGTAGAAATTTACAAGGATTTTTTACCCCAGAAATCCAAAATTTCTTTCTCCCTGTGGTGTCTGACTGCTATACCATAGGCAAGGATGTTAAAGACATGCTCCACTCCTCTTTCTCCTTCCCTGTGGAGAAGCCTCAAGTTCTGTTGCTCTTCCCAGTATCACAGAATTTTGCTGGATGCAGCAAGCAGCTCGCCCTCTTTCCTTTTCCTTAGCTGCCCCCATTAAACTATGCCAGTTCATCAGAACTCTGGTAATATGATATGGAAACTGGTCCTTCAGGCAGCTAAGGGAAATATTTGGATGTTGGAGGCTATGCTCTACTCTTCTTCTTTCCTCTTGGGGAAGAAACCTCAGGCTTTGTGCCTTTTTTCCAATCTTGAAGAACTGCAGAAAACCACCTGCCCCCTTTTCTTTGTTCTTAACTGCCCTAAGGCATTCAAACTATGACTGTCAGAGCTGTTTGTGAGGTGAGATAGAATCCAGCCCATGGGGCAGTGTACTGAAGGGCCTGAATATTAGATACATGCTTCACTCTCTCTTTCCCCTGAGGAAGAAGTTATCATTATATTATGTAACTATATCATTGTATTCTTATATAATAATAAATTTTTCCCATGGCCAGGGAGTACAAAAACAGAAAACAATTGTTAGAATGGAGTATGCCAAATGTTATAATAATTGGAGCCATAGTAGCACAGAAAAGGTAAAACCAACAGAGTTTGGGCAAGGTTAAAAAATACTTTTAGGAAGAGTAAGTGCATAAATCTTGTTAAATAAGTATGTTTAAGAAAAGTAAGGAAAGGCATCAAGGCAGAGGAAAAAACACATAAAAAAACAGCAGTTCAAAGGAACATATTCCGTTAAGGGGTTCACCACGGCTGTGATGAAGTGGGGTGCATGTTGGGGGCATGACAGAAGGCTGGGGAGCTAGGCAGAGAACCTCTTTTATGAGGCCCATATGTGTCAGGTATGCTCTGCATTAATTTTATGCAGAAAGTAGTTGTGAAGTCACCAAATAATTTTCAGTGAGAGAATTACATGATACTTACTAACATTTACTGAGCTCTTACTATATACCAGGAACAATATCAAATTCATTACTACATAATGCCATTGAATCCTCTCAACAATCATTTTAAATAGGCACTGTTATTGTTCCCAGTTTACAAGGAGAATACACATTTTGAAACTTTATAACCTCTATAAAAATCACAGATATAATAACTGGTAGATTTGAGAATGGAATTTGACAGTGTGACCAGCAACCTACCCTATAACTGTGGATATTTTGATCAGACATGATTAGATTTACATGTATAATGATAACTCTGTTGGTAATGTAAAGGCTAGGAGAGTTGAAAAATAATAAGACATGGATTCCACCAATGAAAGTGAATATATAAAGGAGAAGACAAATTTGAGAGATATAGTAGAGTTGAAATCTACAGGATTGGTCACTGATGGATAAAGTCCCCTGTCCAGGGTGATAGACTGAATGGGAGTGCATTGTACTGAGATAGTAATTATAAGAGCAGAGTGGGTTTGGAGGAACAATAAAGGGCTTAGGTTTTGACATGCTGTGTTGGATGTGTCTGTGAGACAACTAAGTGGGGAGTCCAGTAAGCAGTTGGAAATGGGTATATGTAGCTAAATGAAGAGGCCTAGGTTGGAGATAACTTTGACAGTAATCCATAAATATAAGTCATGGTTGAGCATATGGAAGAAAATGAGATGGTCTCAAGAGATTGTTTAGAATGAGAAGACCAAAATGAAGAGAATGAAGAATGCCAGATGTTAAGAGGTAGTATGGAAAGCAGGGCTAGGACTAGGGTGAAGTGTGGAATGCACGTAGGTGCAAAATTTAGGGGGTTACCAAAGAACTCAGTATCAAAACAAATCATATTTTAATGAAATATCTTTAAAAAAGAAAATTAATGCAAAATACATGATTAACAAAATATCAAAGGAGAAGTATTCAAAGAAAATGGAGAAAAAACAGAGAGGCAGAAGAATTAGGAGAATATGTTATCGCATAAGCCAAAGAAGTAATGAATTTCAAGAAGAAGTACTGGGGAGTGTCTGATGTTCAACAGAGGTCATATGAGAAAATATGCACTGCTTTTGAAATCCTTTCAAAGAGCAGTTTTACACAATGTGGGCAGTTATCCTTCCCTCATTGTCATCATTCTAGAGTTAAGCTTCTTCTGTGACCTCAGTAACATGGTCCTTTCCCTTCTCAGATATTTTGGAGACATGGAGCATGTGGAATGCATCTGGGACTTGGGGGTAAAATCAGAGCACTTTAGGGTACTCCTTGACTGGTAACTGCTGCTCATCTGGAGGACCAGGGCACATGTACCTTCTCCCTGGGACCTGAACAGTGCAGAGAAAGGGGGGATCATACATAAAGAGGGTGGAAAAGGTGGGTATGAGCATAGAGTCACGACAATAACTGTGTGTGTCTTGCTGCAGGTGACAAAATTTCTGAGAAGAAAAGGACTTAGAAGAGATCTGAATTCCAGCTGCCCTACAAACTCCAGTCCCAGCTTTCCTTCTCAATTCTTGTGTTCTACACCCCAATGACTGACTTGATTTCTGACCCTTCAAGTTCTGCCTTTATTTGTGACCTTAAGAGCACTCAGTCCTTAATAAAGTTCCTCACATATAAGAAGTACTAAATAAATGTTGATATTCTTGTAGCACTGGTGTGGAGATTATTCCTTTACTGGACTTCTCATTGTCTGGTAACCTTCAAAGAATGCACCAGTGCCCCTTCCTGAGAATACCCTGAGACCAATAAATTCTTCAATATGCCAGAGCCACAGACTTTGAGTTCTTCTTTCTGAAAGTCTAGGACTGAGTCACATATGACTAATATTTATGAAGGTGTGGTTTCAAGCTGGGTTGTGGATGTAGTTACTGAAGGTTCTCACTCCACCTGGATGGAAATGTCTGAGAATATTGATTCAGCCCTGAGTTTTTCTCTAACTAGAGAATAGGGTGTGGTGGGGAGAAGATATTGGGGGAAATTTTCCTTGGATGAAGCTTTGGTTGGGTACAGTTTAAAGACTGTAGTGGTTAGAGTCTCTGAGGGGAGAGATTCGAGCTCTCTGGATGAAGATTTCAAGCAGATCTAGATTCCATCCACAGCCCCTAAGCTTCTTTACCAATGCTGGACTGTAACCATAGAGATTTCCCATGGAGTACATTTTTTCATGTGATAAACTAAGAGCCAAGTGAGAAAATAAGAAAATTCTCTCATTTATTTTAATTTATACCTACTATAGTCACACCATGTGGGAGAGCTTAAATTATCATTAGAAGAGTTTTCAATCAAAGGTTTGAAAATAACAGTTCTGATCATAAAGAAAGTGTCTTATTTAAGCAAGGACTTTGATTCTTTTAAAATTTTCTCTAGATGTCAAAATGAAAAGAGCATGAGATGGTAAGAATGCAGGTAAATATAAAAGCATTTTCTATTTTTTGTTATTTTAAAGTTTTTAATAAGGATAATTGTTTAAGGTATAAATTATAGTAATGTATTTGGGGGCTTATAACATACCTAATAAGCAGGCACCATGGGCACCCTCTGCCACCCAACAGAAGGCTGGAGCACATTATGAACACTGCTTCCATGCAGGTGGTCCACTACAGCCACCACAACAGCTATGGCCACTACAAGGGTGGCTCACTGCCACAGTAGCAGCCACAGCCACTGAGAAAGTGGCCCACCTTCCACTCAACTGCATCAACACAAGGAGGGTCACCTGCAGAGCCCAGAAAAAGAGGAGGAAATCTCCCTTCTCAAAGCCCACTCCAGAGTAATAGAAAGTGCAACTGCTCTATCAGATGACCAGACATCAATGTAGAGAAACTAGAAATATGGAAAACCAAGAAAATATGACACCATCAAAGAAATACAGTAGTTCTCAAGTACCAGATCTCAAAGACGAGAGAACCCTTAAAATGACTGTAAAGGAATTCTGAGCAACAGTCTTAAGGAAACTCAGTGAGGTATTAGAAGACTCAGACAACACAATGAAACAAGAAAAAATATCCAGGATACAAAGGATGAAATTTACAAAGAGATTAACACCCTAAAAAGGAATGTCGCAGAACTCCTGGCACTAAATGATTCATCAATTAAATAAAAACACAACCCAGAGCTTAAGCATCAGGTTAGGGCAGGCAGAAGAAAGAAGTTCTGATCTTGAAGATAGTCTTTTCAAAATAACACAGGCAAACAGAAAAAAGAAAAGGAAAAAAGATTTAAAAAAATAAAGGTAATCTAAGAGAGCTAGCAGAAAACCTTAAGTGCACAAACATATGAGTCATGGTTGTTTTGGAAGGGGAGGAAAAAAGAATCATGGTTGTTCCAGAAGGGGAGGAAAAAAGTCATTGAAAACCTATTCAACAAAATAATAGCAGAAAACTTCCCAGGTGTAGAGGGAAAACTAGAAATCAATAACAAGTGAAACCCTGGAAACTATACAAATAAATGGAAATTAAACATTATGCTCCTGAATGACTTATGGGTCTGAGAAGAAATTAAACAGGAAACCAAAAAATTTCTTGAAACTAATGAAAATAAAGATACATCATACCAAAACTTGTGGGATACTGCAAAAGCAGTACTAAGAGGGAAGTTTATTGCAATAAATCCTGACATTAAAAGAATAAGTGGGAGCTAAAAATAAAAAAATATTTAAAAAGAAAGCAAGATACAACAATCACAATAATTCCCTTAACTTTCAAAAGGAGAGAACAGAACTGAGGCCACCAGGGAAGCTAGTGGGAAAAGGAAGGGGGGTGGTTAGTGAGGGATTGGTAAAGGGCCACAAAAAATGAGTGCATTGTGTAATGATGAGTATAGTAATTATCCTGATTTGAGCATCACATGTTGCACACAGGTATTGATTTTCAATGCCATACCTCACAGATATGCTCAGTCAATTATGTTTCAATTTTTTTTTATTCCCCCTTTTTTTTGTCTTTTTTCGTGACCGGTAACGGGATCGCAACCCTCGGTGTCGCACCCGTACCGCAACCGGCAACAGGATCGCAACCCTCAGTGTCGCGCCCGCACTGTGCTCAACCAGTGAGCGGACCGGTCTCTACATGGGATCCGAACCCTCGGCGGGAGCGCCGCCACGCTCCCAAGCACCGCATTCTACCGAGTGCACCACCGGGCCGGCCCACGTTTCAATTTTAAAAAAGGGGAAAAAAATAAAGAGCTGCCAATGGCAAAAAATATATAAATTATTGATTAAAGAAAAGAAAGTATTTGTTCTCAGTGTTATCAAGTATATAATTTGAATTAATAGAGGTTAAATAAACAGCATCAGTCACTGTTTCAGAATGATTTGGTTAGTTGTAAAGCTTTACACTTGCTGCTAAGTAAATAAAATTTGTAAAACTCTGCAAAAAAAGTTACATAGAAGTGGAATGTATGACAACAATAGCACAAAGAATAGGAGGAGAAATGGAAGTACAGTGTTGTAAGATTCTTTTTCTTTTTCCTTTTTGTCTTTTTTCGTGACCGGCAACGGATCGCAACCCTCAGTGTCGCGCCCGTACCGGACTGGGACCGGCAACGGGATCGCAACCCTCGGTGTTGCGCCCACACCTCGCTCAGCCAGTGAGCGGCCAGTCTGTATGTGGGATCCGAACCCTCGGCGGGAGCGCCGCCACGCTCCCAAGCAGCACACTGTAGCAGTGCGCCACCGGGCCGGCCCTGTAAGATTCTTAAGTATGTAAAATGGTATATTATTTGAAGGTAGAATGTATTAAGTTAAAGATGAATACTTTAAATACCACAGCAAATACTAAAAAAAGTGATATAGCTAATAAGCCAATGGAAAGATAAAATTGAATAATAACCATAATTAATCCAAAATAAAGAAGCAAAAGAGGGAAAACCTGATTGGGGAATGAGAAAACAAGTGGTAAGATAGTAGAGTTAAATGCAACAATTTGAATAATTCAATTAAATGTGCATGGCCTAAATACTCTAATTAAAAGGCAAAGATTTTGAGAGTGATGTCATGAAGATGGAAGAGTAGAAGATACCTAGCATCACTCCTCCCCACAAGTAAGCAATTTACAACACTTAAAAAGCAAAGACTGCCAACCTGGAACTTCTGGAGATGGGGGAAGAGGAAGAGAGACTTGTGGAGTCTGTGAATGTGCAAGAGGCCATGGGAAAAGAGAGTAGGAATGGCTCTGATCATTCTGAGCCCCAGCCACTTATCAGACAGCCTGGTACAGCATGGGCAATGGCTGCAGCACACAGATCAGCTTGGCAAAACTGCAGCAACACCCTTTGCATGAATTTGCTTGGAGTCTGCAAGGGAGAGGAGGGCTTCTTAGTGCACTATATCACCCCACAGGTCAGAAAGACCACTGGCAGGGTTCCCTTGGGACCACACAGGAGCAAGCAGCCACAGCTGACCAGAGGAAGGAGCCACCTAAAGGCCAGTGAATCATTGTGAGGGATGCATACATGGCCTCCCCCAAGGGAAGCAGTGAGAGTGCAGGAGAAAAGCTGGCCCACCAGGGGAACATTGGGATGCAGCACAGTCAGCTGATCTCAGAGGAAATTGGTCAGGGTGATAGAACTGCAGGGGTTGAAGTCTGTATGAAAGACTCAGTCCTGGGCCAGAATTTCCATACAGCCCAGACCCAGAAGTGATTAATGATCTGCACAAAAATCCTTCTCCTGAGAATCACCAGCAAAGCAGCAATTTAGTTCAAGCAAAGAGCTCAAGTTCTGGTGTCCACATGAAGCTCCTCATTTGTGAATTAACAACAGGACAACACATTAGTTCCAGTGCAGAGTCTAAGCAGTGGTAGTAGCTATTAGTCCACCACAGAATGGAAAAAAAAAAACGAAACAAACCTAAAAAACAAACAAACAAAAATCCCACAGACCAGAGTCAAAGCTCTGATTCGGACCATAAAGGTCTAACACCAGCAAAAACACCTATAAAACCTAGAAAAGGTAGCAGTCTTATCAAATGCTTAGGAACTAATGTAAAGACACAAAGATCTAGAACAGAGAAGTATTTCACCACCAAAGGAAACTAACAAAGCATCAGCAATGGACCCAGAGGAACAGCAGATCTATAAAATATCTGACAGAGAATTCAGAATAACTCTCTTAAGGATGTTCAGTGAGATACAAGAAAATGCAGATAGGAAATTAAATGATATCTGGAAAACAATTCAGGACCAAAACGAGAAACTTGACAAAGGTATATAATTAATAATAATAATAATAATAATAATAATAATAATAATAATAATAATAATAATAATAATAATAATAATAATAATAATAATAATAATAATAATAATAATAATAATAATAATAATAATAATAATAATAATAATAATAATAATAATAATAATAATAATAATAATAATAATAATAATAATAATAATAATAATAATAATAATAATAATAATAATAATAATAATAATAATAATAATAATAATAATAATAATAATAATAATAATAATAATAATAATAATAATAATAATAATAATAATAATAATAATAATAATAATAATAATAATAATAATAATAATAATAATAATAATAAACTCTGCCAAATAGTACTCTTTAGAATACTTTATCTGAGTTGAAAAACTTGATAGAAACATCCAACAGAAGAGTTAATCAAATAGAGAAAAGAATCAGTGAGCTCAAAGACAGAATATATAAAATCATCCAATCAGATAACCAAAAAGAAAAATGAATAAGAAAAAATGAAACAGAAATAGCAAATATGGGACTCCCTCAAGTGAAATAACCTC